TTTTTTTTTTTTTTTTAAAGAGGAGTACGCCTAAACGTAACAAAGAAAGTAGTGGGACTAGCGGGCGTCCTCTCGCATTGTCCAGGCAGCAGGGAGACGGGACGGCTCTGTCGGTCGGTCGGTAATTTATCCGTCCGAATGACACAACGCGGCTGCTGTGACGCCGTTCAGCCGGGACGAGGAGGGTGGGGCGTTCAAGTGCTGCCGCTGAAACGTCGGAAATTATCCTCCATCGGGTTCACATTTACGAGCTGCGGGGACCGAGAACGCAACAGTTTGAACACCGTAGTCATCTTTTAATACTAATAGGACGTTTTTAAGTGACATTTTTTATGGATATTTCACATTATTTTTAATGTTTAACAATATAGGTGCAGGACTGTACAATGACAACAAAATAACTGCATCAGAAATTAGTTTTTCTGATATTTTTTAGTGAAGTTTTACACAATTCTCTGTCTGTATTATGTATTTATTTTATTTTTTTAACTATCATACATACTTAATAAGCTTCTTTCTTGCCCTGTAAATATAGCTCGTGTTCAGGTCTTTAAAGTTTAGATCTTAAATAACAATAGAAACTTCATAAATAACACTTTTATTTAGTTTAGTTAAGCTTTGTTGACTTTTTACTTTTAATAGCCTACTTTAAAGTATATTTTACAGATTAATACTTATGTACTTTAATAAAACTAAACTTTTCCTTGTATGTATGTATAAAAGAGTATTTTTACATTGTTATACTTTTATTTTTTAAAGCAAATCCATATATTAAACAACACATTTAGGTGGGACACTGAAATGGTTATCGGTCAGAAACTCCCTCCATTACTTCATAGCAGCTGACATTTACGAGCAGCACTGAATGCACCACGAGAGGTCACTCCACCCCACCCTGGTGAAGAGACTTTACCACAGTCTGGATTTCACCATGCACTTGATAAAGACAACTCCTCCTCACGATGTTACACAGAGAGCAGAGAGAGTAAAGGAAGAAATGCCTTTTATATGTCATCAAGGAGAACAGCAGCTATTTGTTTCAGGTTAAAAATTAAAAATGTGCTGTATGGTTATAGTTGGGGCGTCCTGGGCACAAGTTTTAGTGGTTAGACTGTAAAAAAAACATACACACAAACATATTTTCAGTGAGGGTTGCAGGCAGTGTGAGGCTGGTGCAGAAATCAGTTCATCTGTATTAAAGATTAATGATTAATATGCAAAGAAAAGCAAACAGCTCCCCCTTGTGGGAAATCTGCACATATGGATGTGAGAGGCAACCAGCTTCTAAAAATAGAAAACTGTACAATCAGAAACTGATATCAGGAGGTAAAGCATAAATAAACTTCACTTGTGCCCGATTACTGCGTGAGCATGTGCAGACCTGCAGACTGACTTGTTGCACCTTTATCACATTTTTATCTGTCTATACTCAGAGAAACACAGGTGTTAGTTCATATTTTTTGTCTCTGTTGTGGCCAAAACCAGGACCCTGAGTGGATTTCAGCCATCATTTATTGCATTATTCACACCTGTGCTGATCCCACAGGTCCTCCAACTTCAACCTGATCTGACGTCCAATTACACAGGATAAGTGGAAACACCTGTGTGGCTGTTCGGGGGCTTTAAGCTGCTGGTTTTAATCCTTTTGAATTTTGTATCAGATCAAGACGGACGAGGTTCAGCTTTGGCTTACAATTCGTTTTGGGTATATTGGTGTAAGTTGCATTACACAGTAAATAATATCAGTAAATTATGTAGTTTAAAACAGAAGTATCTCAATTTATTCTATTCTGATGAGTTATTCAACACTTCAAGTCCCCCTTTAGCATTTATAAGCAGTATATAAATGTTTAATAAACACTTTTATCTGCTTACAACTACATTATAGTGTTAAATTTATTAAATGCTCATATACTGCTTATACATGCTAAATAATGGGACTTAAAACCCAGTATTACAAACATTAGAATTAAATTATAATTGAACTAAATGCAGTTTATGTAGCTTTACACTAAACATGGCAAACATCTCACTCCATTTCTTTCTCTAAGTTAAGATTGATTGTTTATTTCTGTCAAAATATTCTATTTGAGCTGTAACATTTGAAGGTTACTGATAAATGTAATGAAACCAATTTGTATTGTACAATAAACTTATAGTGAGTGCAAATCTGTAAACCAAGACACCTTTAACGTCTTAATTTTCCTTAAAAAAAGGTTAAAAAAAAAATGAACACAGCAAGACGCCAGTCTGAAGCAGCGTGACGAGCGACAGTTTCCCCCCCGAGTGGAAATATTGTGTATTCATCAGTTTTAAATGTCAGATTTTATTATTAAAAATGTGATTAAAGACCAGGGTGTAATATTCCCAGCTCAGGGAGACAAGAGAGGAATCTGGAAATCAATCTGGAAATGTTGTCCCTCCAGGACTTTTATTTAGAAATTTTCTTTCCATCCCAAATGTCAATGGGTACAAGGACAAGGCTGTGAATCACCATGGCAACAGTGTGAATTCCCGAATACCCACCGTACCCCGAGACATGACAGCCGGTCGAAGAGCTTTTCATTTCCTGTCAGAAAACGAGCGGCGGTTTCAGGAACGTAAGGCCGCCAAAACGTTTCTCTCCCTCTCCAAACATTGGGAAGTTTTATTTTAGTTTGAAACTTTTTCCTTCAATCAATGTAAAGTCTCTTGCAAGTGTTTTTCCCATGTCGCATTTTTACTCTGTTTACACAGAAACACAAAAAATAACGGGCTAAGTTACAAATCGGACACGGCAAAGTCGTCTGTTCATATTTTTCACGGTTCAGCTGTCCCACTGCGAAGCCTCAACCTTTTTTTTTTTTTTTAAATTCAATCCTCTCGTCCAGTCTGAAATTAACTCTAAAAACGGTGAGTCCTCTGACCTTCTTCAAGAACAGACCCTGGGGCAGTCCTCTCACCTCTTCATCTTCCTCAGAGTAACATCTGCAAAGTCCTTCGTCCCATCGCAAGAATGCAGAAACGGGAGTAACGGGTAAGTGCTTGGTCCATCTCTTTTAACCCCTGTCCCCCTTTTTCCTCTGCCCGGCCCATCAGCCCACGTTTCTTTCCTCCTTTTTCTTTGCTATGTTGTAAATTCATCATGAGAGCAGGAGTGATGGGGGGGGTTGGGTGGGGGGCAATAGAAGAGAGGGCATTGTAAGTGGAAGAAGATGTGTTGGAGCGGCAGGCGGCGGGGCTAGAGGCCTATAGACTGCAGGGTTTGTCTCTCGGTGTTGTTGAGGTGTCCTGAGAACATGCTGTAACATGGCTGCTGGGCGAACTGCGTCAGGAAGTCTGTCAGGTAAGCCTGGGAAAAGACAGGTGATACAGAACAGGTTAATTATTGATGGACTGATCACTGATTAGGTGGACGAGAGCACAGGGAGAGAGAGAGAGAGCCTGGAGCTAGTGCACATTCAGGCTTAGATTAGGGCTGCACAATAATCCAAATATTGTTGCAATATCCAAATCACAGAAGATTTTTTTAATAAAAAAAAAAGGTCAAATGTGGGACAAAACAGTGTCATGATGAAGTACTGTAGTGCTGCAGTCACCCTGGCCTAAAAATCTGGTTCTCCAGATGTAAGAAATCGTGTTTCTTTGGCACAGACGCCAACAAATTTAACATCACCATGGTCTTCATAGTTTTTTGTTTCAGTGAAAATGAAAACTGTGATGCAAAAATGATCAATCCCACTAATCGTGAATCATATTTGTCAACATAATCGACTTTTTATTTTATTGTATCGTGCCATCTTAGTTCAGATTTACTAAAGAGTGTAAATAAAACGACCGTCCACAAGAGAGGGAGGGGATCTAGGCACAATTAAAAACCTCTTGTAGCTTTTGGACGATTCATCTACAGAGTTTATTTGATTGATCAGAATTTTTGTTTTAGTATGGTGCATAAAATATCCACATTTTGGACATAAAGTTGTTTCCGTCTCTTCCTCTCGGGTAGCAAACGGCCGTTACAGTATCTGCAGATATCAGCCTGATGTGTGGCCAGGAGACAGCAGGAGATAAACTGATGTGCGGACTTTTCTGTTCTATCTGCTGTCTCTGCTTAGTTGAAGAATCAGTTTCTGACCGTCCAAAAACGTGCTTACTTGCAAAACATGTTTGTGCTTACTCCTAAAAATAGGTTTCTTGCTGCATTTAGTAGAAAACAACTTGATTAAAATGGTTATTTGGTCCCAGGCTAAGTGTTGACAATGACGACAAGCTGTCAGGTGGATTGTGTTTGACCTTCTCGTTCTGGATCTGTGGATGAGGCTGCTCCTATAGCTTCTGTGTAAATAGCTCTTTAAATAGCTTGTAAATATTTAAGTAGTTTGTTTGATCTTCTCTCTTCCTTTGTAGATTTTTTTTACTACAAATACACAATGTCCCTGTAGGGAGTTTGTGATAAATAATTATAATGTTTAATTTAAATTTCCATCACCGTATACCAGAAACAAGTTTGTAGTGTTGCATTTATTGATCCAACAGTTAAAAATAAACAGCAAACAGCAACTTATGATGAGACTGAAACAAAGTTATTAAACTATATTATATCTATATATATTTGGATCTGGATCATTTTGGAGGGGCAGTTCTTACTGATTTATAGTGACTATATAGATCTCAGATGTTCCACAACAACACAAGCAATGTAGAGATTTAAAGTTTCTTTAAAGAGGGGCACATTCTTGATTTTACACCCCTTATAATTTACTGTGTTTGCAAAAAATGAGATTTACATGCGTTTTTATGCACAGACTAAAAGGCTTTATATTCTTTGGCCAGCACACATGTACTTTATATTCAGTGTCTAAAGTTACTGACTAGCATTCATAATATCTCCGGGTGTAGTAGTTCAATAGTTCTCAAAGCTTTTTGGTCTTAAAGGATCCCCAAATGGATTTCAAGCTGCAGACCTGTATTTGATAGACGTGGTCTCAGGGATTCCTGTCTGATAAGATTTAGTTATTTTACAACTATCTGTACTAGACTGGAAGATGAACAGTAAGTCAATAAAATAATAGTGAAATTAAATTAATAGTGGGCAATGCTTCTAGGTGATTAAGTACCTCAATTTGTCAGGATATTCACATGAACTTACTTTATCTAGGAACTGTTTCATCTGACCATCACAATACATTTTGATATCACAAAATAAAATCAAACATATACTGATGGATGATTTTCACCATCACACGCTCTCCTACTCCTACAAATCTTTAGTAAATCTGGCAGGTAGATCTTCCTGCTGAAGGACCGACCCCGACTGCCTAATGGAAATATTTGAAATGAGACACATGAAACCACAAGTTTAGAGTTAGAGTACCTGCAGGTCAATCAGATATATGGGGTCTTTCAAGGCATCCGGATCATCCTCCTCATCATCCTCGTAATAATCGTCATCTGCAGGACAGAAGCGGTGAACAGTGTAAGTGAGAAGCGTGCAGAATAGAAGACAAACTAAAAGGAATAGCCGAGACACTATTACCGTATTTATTGGAGGCGATGAGATCAGAAAGCAGCTGCCCTGCAAGCCCTTCATCCTCCTCATCATCATCTTCCCCCTCTTCCGCCTCATTGTCCTCCCACATACCGCTGGAATCTGAGACAAACAACAGCCGGTGATGTCTGCTGTCCTGTTCTTTAGCTTACAGGCAAGAGAAGTGAACAACTCTGCAATCTTTCAACAAGTGCACCTATATGGTTCCCCACTGGGGATTAATAAAGTATATCTTCATCTTCTTCACTACTGCCTTATTGTTTCCCCCCCCAATTACAACAACAAGGAATCAGCACAGAGGTCACACAAGTTTGAATCCCTCAACAGTGTTCATGTACCTAAAAAACCCACTTGTCCTATCAAAAAAAAAAAAAGAAAAAGCAGAAGCATTTGTATTATTTGTATTCACCTTGGGTCCAGTCTGCTGCGTTCGCCCTGCTGGCGTTCGCCTCCACTACTGTCGACAGCTCGTTAATGATCAATTTAAAGATCTTCACCAGCAAAGGAATGTTGGTCCATCGCTCTGGGTCTGTGGAGGAAAAGACACAGAGCTCAGTGTTAACACAAAGTCCTGCAGTACGTCTCCTAATATCTCCTGTATGGAAGCAATGTGATTGTTGCAACCTAAGCAGCCTTGTTAAAAAAAAAAAATAAAGGCAGACAGCTATATCTATTAGGTATTTATGGTCCTACATTTACAGATTCAACTGTCCTTGGGTCATTTAGGTGGCTTACTCTTGGCAGATTTGGAGCGTGTGCGGATGCCGTCTTCAGGACTGTAGATCTCCTCTCCCTTCACCACAATGTCCTGGAGACGTTTGTCGTCAGTGTTGAGACCGTGCTGCAGCAGCTTGCAGAGAGCCACCGTGCTGCAGGAGGTAGGCGACGGTGGAGAAAAGAGAAATGGAAAGCTTTTTTAATGACTAACCCCCAAACTGAGCCATTTCTCGCCATAAGCACAACTCTGTTTCAGAGTTATACTGGAAGCAGAAATTCATTATTTCAGTCATTAAATGTGAAAGATTAAACTAAAAAACAGTGATGTCAAGTACCCAAACCAGGCATAGTCAGTATCATTTAATTGCAGAGTTACATGGGCTGAATTATGCTAAAAAATAACTTGTTTGTACAACGCCAGAAGGAAGAAGTTTATTTAGTATTTTAGTTTATAGCTCCTGACAGCGGTGTGAAAAACTGGTCATGATAAAGACGGGGGGCAATTGTTTAAATTTCGGGATAGTGGTGCACATTTTCAGTCTCTCCTGGAGGGTATTTATAGTGCTGCATACTTTATTTGGACAAAAGTGACAGAAATTGTTGTGTAAAGAATGAAAGAAGAGCCGGAGAGAGACTCAAACCCTACCTACACACAGCTGACCAATCACTGCATGAAGTGGGTGTGATTAACAGGAAAACGTTTCTAAAATTTCCACAGCTTTTCCTTTCTTTGCCTACAGGTGGCAACATTGAACATGGGTCCAAACTGCTGACGCTGTTGCTTTCTTTTCCTCATTGGTGGTTCAAGTTAGCATTTGTAGCTAAGATGAGTATTATGTAACTTCTTTGCATTAAAATAACAGCTTCAAAATCTTTGATGCTACACTGTGACTTCTGGCTCCGGGTCAGAACAATGGCAGTAGTCACTAGGGATGGGGATCGTTAATATTTATTGATATCGATACCTTTATCGATACTCCTTATCGATCCGAGTCTTTATC